TTCTGTTTTAGGCCTCCCGGTTTTATAGCCGCAATAAAACATTTACAGTTTGAACAAGTCACCGCTTTTTCGGGCTCTTTGTTTTTAAACGCATTGTGTTGATTTCCTCCCTCTCCGCTGGGTGCTGTTTTGGTGCACTCAGAATCTGTTCCAGCCACAGATTTCGAAAATGCTTTGTGCGAGAGTTAAAAAATGGCTTGGAAGTTTACACAAGGATCACTGGGATTCTAATCCACAAACAGGTAATATATGGTGGTGGTGGGGAATTACAATGAGAACAGGAGGAGGAGAAGAAGAAATTGGATTTATACCCCGCCCTTTACTCAGAATCTCAGAGCGGCTTACAAACGCCTTTCCATTCCCCTCCCCAAAACAGACACCCTGTGAGGTAGGTGGGGCTGAGAGAGCTCTGATAGAACCTGCTCTTTCCAGAACACCTCTGAAAGAACTATGGCTTGTCCAAGGTCATCTAGCAGCTGCGAGTGGAGGAGTGGAGAATCAAACCTAGTTCTCCCAGATTAGAGTCCGCGGACATAAACACTACACCAAACTGGGTGCTGCCTCACTTGGAATATTGTGTACGATTCTGGTCACTGCACCTCAAAAATATATTCTTGCATTGGAGAAGGTGCAGAAAAGGCCAACGAAAATTATGAAGGGGATGGAAGACCTTCCCTATGAAGAAAAGTTAAAAAGAGGTGAGGGCTGTTTAGCTTCGACAAACAATGATTGAGGGGTGACATGAGAGAGGTTTACAGATTTATGCATGGGATAGAGAAGGTAGATAAAGAAGTACTTCTCTCCCTTTCTCACCATACAAGAACTCGTGGGCACTCCATGAACTTAACCAGCAGTAGGCTTAGAACAGATCAAAGGAAGTCCTTGAGCCAAAGAGTGATTCACACGTGGAATTCACTGCCACAGGAGGTGGTGGCGGCTACAAGCATGGACGGCTTCAAGAGGGAACTGGATAAACAGATGGAGCAGAAGTCCATCAGTGGCTCTTAGCCAGAACACTCTGTCTGGGGTAAGGGATGCTCTGTCTTCTTGGTGCTTCGGGGATGAAAGTACTGGGTTCGCCGCATGGAGGACTCGGACGACGACATACTGTAGCACACGTTTATTGTACTTAACACAGACAAAGACTAACTCTAACTGCCAACAGGGCCAACTATATACATATCCACCAGCAACCCCCCCACTCCCATTGGGGGGTTTAAATGTCCCGCCAAGGCGGCTATTGGTTGGGGCTGGGGAATCCAGGATCCGAAGTATCCTTTGTTTTCGGATCCAAGCTCTGGCCTGTCCGCGGACCCCTGGAGGCGGTCCACGTAAATAACAGGGGACAACAGTGGAGCCTGAGGAGGGTGGGGCTTGGGGCAAAACGCCATAGAGTCCAGCTTCCGAAGTGGTCATTTTCTCCAGGTGAACCGATATATGTTGCCTGGAGGCCAGTTGTAATAGCGGGAGATCTCCAGCTACTACCTGGGGTTGGCAACCCTAGTTCTGGCCCTCCTGATGGCACCTGGGTTTTGGCCACTGTGTGACACAGAGTGTTGGACTGGATGGGCCATTGGCCTGATCCAACATTGGCTGCTCTTACATTCTCCTGCCTGGGGCAGTGATGCTCTGTCTTCTTGGTGCTTGGTGGGGCAAGAGTGGGAGGGCTTCTGGAGTTCTGGCCGTGCTGCTGGCCCTCCTGATGGCCCCTGGGGTTTGGCCACTGTGTGACACAGAGTGTTGGACTGGATGGGCGATTGGCCTGATCCAACATGGCTTCTCTTCTGTTCTTCTGTCTGGAGCAGTGATGCTCTGTATGACGTGGGGGGGGAGAAGGGGGGGTGGGCTTCTGGAGTTCTGGCCCCGCTGGTGGACCTCCTGATGGCCCCTGGGTTTTGGCCACTGTGTGACACAGAGTGTTGGACTGGATGGGCGATTGGCCTGATCCAACATGGCTTCTCTTCTGTTCTTCTGTCTGGAGCAGTGATGCTCTGTATCCTAGGTGCTTGTGGGGCAAGAGTGGGAGGGCTTCTGGAGTTCTGGCCCCACTGGTGGACCTCCTGATGACCCCTGGGTTTTGGACACTGTGTGACACAGAATGTTGGACTGGATGGGCCATTGGCCTGATCCAACATGGCTTCTCTTGCATTCTTATATGGAGCAGAGGTCCATCAGTGGCTATTAGCCACAAGGTCCAGCTGGAAGATTCTGTGCGGGGCAGTGATACTCTGTCTTCTTGGTGTTTGGAGGGGGGGGGCAAGAGTGGGAGGGCTAGAGATGTAAAATTTCTGGAAATTTTTCGGGGGGAAATGGAAATTTTAGGGAAAATTGAAAAAAATGTTACATTAGCACTTCTTTTTTCTTTTCCAGACTGAAAGTCATTCTGTTACGTTAGGAACATAAAATATGACTATGGACATTTTTACTTGGCATGAAATGATCACAACTAGCCTATTAAAATATAGTGTATCCAAACAATTCTTACAAACAGAATACCCACCCACATGCAAAAACAAAACTGAAACCTTTTCTTTCTTTTTTTGCGACAGTAGCACCTCCTAAAGGAAGAAATGCATCTTGTTCTTGCATTAGAGAGTTCAGTTGGTAACCTAGGACTTGCTTGTTCTCAGTGCACAGAAATTAGATCAGTCTGATACCATGCATATTTTTTAGAAATGATTTGGAACATATTTGAACACCTTGTCTTAAAATATTGTATTCATCATGTTAAAATAAAACATTCGATAATGAATTCCTTTTCTTTTCTTCAATTTTTCCAATCTTTTGGAAAAGAACAAAAAAGGCTTCAGGAAAAAAATGGGAGGGGGGGAAACGGTGTTTTTCCGAATTTTTCTGGGCCTTCACATCTCAAGGGAGGGCTTCTGGAGTTCTGATCCCACTGCTGGACCTCCTGATGGCCCCTGGTATTTTTGGCCACTGTGTGACAGAGTGTTGGACTGGAGGGGCCACTGGCCTGATCCAACATGGCTTCTCCTATGTTCACCTGGAGGTTAGCAAGTTGCTAGGTTACCAGCAATCACCACCATCCCAAAGAGAAAGAAATGCAAGAAAGCTCAGCATCAAAAAAACTAAGATCATGGCATCCGGCCCCATCACTCCTTGGCAAATCGAAGGGGAAGTCGTGGAAGTAGTGACAGACTTCACGTTCCTGGGATCCCAGATCACCACAGTCTGTGACAGCAGCCATGAAATTAAAAGACGCCTGCTCCTTGGGAGGAAAGCGATGGCGAACCTAAACAGCATGATAAAAAGTAGAGACATCACCCTGCCCACAAACGTCCGCATGGTCAAAGCAATGGTATTCCCAGTAGTCATGTATGGCTGCGAGAGTTGGACTATAAGGAAGGCCGAGCGCCGAAGAATAGATTCTTTTGAACTATGGTGCTGGAGAAGACTCTTGAGAGTCCCTTGGACAGCAAGGAGATCAAATCAGTCAATCCTAAAAGAAATCAACCCCGACTGTTCCCTGGAAGGCCAGATAATGAAGCTGACGCTCAAATACTTTGGCCACCCAATGAGAAGGGAGCCCTCCTTGGAGAAGAAGACCCTGATGCTGGGAAAGATTGAAGGTCAAAGAAGACGGGGACGGCAAAGGATGGGATGGTTAGACAGTGTCATCGATGCAACGAACATGAAACGGAGCCAACTTCAGAGGACGGCAGAAGACCGGAAGGCCTGGCGTGATCTGGTCCACAGGGTCGCGAAGAGTGTGCAACTGGACAACAACAACAAAGGTTACCAGCTCTGGTTGGGAACTACCTGGAGGCTTGGGGGATGGACCCTGGGGGAGGCAGGGTCTTCACAGAGGTGCCCCCAGAACCACCCCCCCCTACAGGGGGTGGTGCCAGAGCGCACCCACCAAAGCTGCCCTTTCCTCCAGGGGAGCTGGTCTCTGTCTCCTGGAGATCCGTTTTAATTCCGGGAGATCTCCCGCCGCCGCCTGGAGGCTGGCAGCCCTGGCCATTGCAGACCCAGGCACACTTGCGCGAGAGTAAACCCCCGTCAGAGTCAGGGAGGTTCACTCCCAAGTAGAGATGTGAAGGCCCGGAAAAAACCCGGAAAAATTCGGAAAAAACCCGGGTTTTTTCCGTTTTTTCCCCTGAAGCTTTTTTGTTTTTTTCCGAAAAATTGAAAAAAGAAAAGAAAAGAAATTGATTATGGAATGTTTTATTTTAACATGATAAATAAAATATTTTAAGACAAGGTGTTCAAATATTTTCCAAATCATTTCTAAAATATATAATGGTATCAGATTGATCTAATTTCTGTGCACTGAGGACAAGCAAGTCCTAGGTTACAAACTGAACTCTCCATTGCAAGAACAAGATGCATTTCTTCCTTTAGGAGGTGCTATTGCATGTGGGTGGGTATTCTGTTTGTAAGAATTGTTTGGGTACACTATATTTTTAATATGCTAGTTGTGATAATTTCATGCCAAGTAAAAATGTCCATAGTCATTTTTTATGTTCCTAAAGTAACAGAATGACTTTCAATCTAGAAAAGACAAAAGAAATGCTAACGTAGCATTTTTTTCAATTTTTCCGAAAATTTCCGGTTTTTTCCGGAAAAAAACGGGTTTTTTTCCGAGCTTCAAAATTTCCGGAAATTTTACATCTCTACTCCCAAGTAAACAGACACCCTCTCCGGCCGCCCTTCCCTTCCCTGCAAACAATAGCCCACGTTCCGGGCGCCTGCCGGGTTTCCTACATTTCCCAGCGCCCACCGCTTCTTGCGCACGCGCACTCGCGCCCGGGGCTCGGCGGGCGAGAGCCACTCTCTCGCTCCCCATTGGCCGCCTCCGTCGTCCGGGAAGGCGGGCCCGTCCCGCCCCCCTCGTTCCCGATGATGTCTGCGCAAGTTTGGCTGCGGCGGCGGAGGCCCGCCTTCTCGGGGATCCTACTGGAGAATCGCCTTCCGGGGGGGCTCCTGATTCGTCGGCTGGGAGAGCGCCAGGGTAGGGTTTCCCAGGGCGACCAGGAAGCCCAAATGGGGCTGGTGTTGTGATACTTTTCTCGTCCCCTCCTCCTCCTCCTCCCTTGGCTCGTTGAACCAGGAAGTGAAGTGGGGGCCGCTGCAGCCTTAGGAGGAGGAAGCCCGGCCACCTGAGCCGCAGCAGCAGGAGGAGGAGGGTGGGGGGAAAGACCAAGACACGTGAGTCTGTCAATCCAGGGTTAAATCCAGGGTTAAATCTAGGGTTAAATCCAGGGTTAAATCCAGAACCTGCCCCAGGATTCTGGACAAAAGTACATTTTCATGTGCAATTGCTGGGGAGGGGGAGGTTGTCTGCCATCCAACACTCTCTCCCCTGCCTTCTGCTAGCCTGGGGAGAATTGCTTTTGAGGAATCAGGTGCCAAAGGAGTGCCCAGCAGCTGAGTGGGCTTGTGGAACTCCCTGCCACAAGGTTTGAGGGTGCTGGGGGGGGGCATTTTCAAAGAGGCCTGGGCAGGTTTGGAAAAGGGGGGGGGATAGTGTTCCCCCTAAGCTGAGTTGGTGTGGGCTAGCTCGCGGTTTTTTAGCCTCCGGCTCGCGCATTTTTGTCTCGGCTCAGGGAGGAGGGCTCCAGGGCAAACTTAAGTGATGCAGCTGCCAAATTGCTCGCTCACAGCTTTAATGCCTGGGCAGTTTTGCAGGGGAGGGGGCAGTGTTCCCTCTAAGCTGAGTTGGTGTGAGCTAGCTCGCAGTTTTTTAGCCTCTGGCTCACACAGTTTTGTTTCGGCTCAGGGAGGAGGGCTCCAGAGCAAAATTAAGTGATGCAGCTGCCAAATTGCTCGCTGACAGCTTTAATTCCTAGGCAGATTTGCAGAGGAGTGGGGGATAGTGTTCCCCCTAAGCTGAGCTAGTGTGAGCTAGCTCACAGTTTTTTAGCCTCTGGCTCACACAGTTTTGTTTCGGCTCAGGGAGGAGGGCAGCAGAGCAAATTTAAGTTATGCAGCTGCCAAATTGCTCGCTGACAGCTTTAATGCCTGGGCAGATTTGCGGGGGGGGGGGCAGTGTTCCCTCTAAGCTGAGTTGGTGTGAGCTAACTCACTGTTTTTTAGCCTCTGGCTCGCACATTTTTGTCTCGGCTCAGGGAGGAGGGCTCCAGAGCAAATGAACTGATGCAGCTGCCAAATTGCCCGCTCACCGCTTTAATGCCGGTGGCATACAAAGTAGAATTTTTGCTCACAGGGCTCCATAGCTTACAGGAAGCATTGGAGGGGGGGGGGGCTGTGGTTGACTGTCAGCCAAAGTAGAGAGAGGAGATCTCCTGGTGTGGAGGCAAAAAATCCCCAGGATGGTCATGAGGAGAGGGCTGGTTGTCTGCAGGCCCTGCTTGAAGGCCTTCCTGGGGCACCTGACGGGTTGCTTTTGGAAGCAGAATTCTGGGTTAGGTGGACTGGCCCCGCTGGTGGACCTCCTGATGGCCCCTGGGTTTTGGCCACCGTGTGCCACAGAGTGTTGGACTGGAGGGGCCACTGGTCTGATCCAACATTGGCTTCTCTTATGGTCTTCTGTCTGGGGCAGTGATGCTCTGTCTTCTTAATGCTCGGGGGCAGGAGCGGGCGGGCTTCTGGAGTTCTGGCCCCGTTGATCAGTGCTCCCTCTAAGCTGTGGAGTCTTGTGAGCAAAAATCCTACTTTGTGAGCTACCGGCATTAAAGTTGTGAGCGAGCGATTTGGCTGCTGCCTAAATTAGTTTTCTCTGGAGCCCCCCTTCCCGAGCTGAGACAAAAATCGGTGAGCTGGAGGCTAAAAGATTGTCAGCTAGCTCACACTTACTCAGCTCAGAGGGAACACTGCCGCTGGTGGACCTCCTGATGGCCCCCGGGTTTTGGACTGGAGGGGCCATTGGCCTGATCCAATATGGGCTTCTCTTATGTGCTTATCTTGCCTCTGCGCTCCTTGTATGTGAAGTGGTGGTAGACGTATGCCCCTTCCATCAGCCCTTGTGTTTTTTTGCCCAAGGCCACTGGCTTTTATACAACTTTTTTATACAACTTTTATAGTTCAACCTTTGAGTCCACTGGCACCTTTAAGACCAACAAAGTTTAATTCTGGGTATAAGCTTTCGTGGGCAAGCACGCTTGTGCAGAAACCGGGATCACAGTGTAAAAACCAGTCTGGTGTCGTGGTTAGGAGCGTGGACTCTAATCTGGGAGAACCGGGTTTGATTCCCCACTCCTCCACATGCAGCTGCCGGGGTGACCTTGGGTCAGTCACAAGTTCTCTCAGAGCTGTTCTCTCACGAGCAGTCCTCGGGAGAGCTCTCTCAGCCCCACCTACCTGGCAGGGTGTCTGTTGTGGGGAGGGGAAGGGAAAGGAGTTTGTAAGCCACTCTGAGACTCCTTCAGGTAGTGAAGGGTGGGGTATAAATACAATCTCTGCCTCCTCTTCTATTATTATTATTATTTCTATTATCATTTCTATTATCATCATCATCTTCATTTATAGCTCAAAGTTTTGAGTCCACTGGCACCTTTAAGACCAGCAAGGTTTATTTCTGGATATAAGCTTTCGTGTGCAGGCATGCTTGTGGATCGCAGTCAAAAAACCTAGTAACAAACCATCACTGTGATTGATAGCTACTGTATTGCGTAGTTAATAAAAATGCAAATGGTCCTTACATATGACATAGATATCGGGCATATTACATAGGTAATGCAAAAAATATCACAACGAATAATGTGATCCTGTATCACAAAATTTAGAAAAGCCCCATCCTTGTGCTGTTGTAGAACTGTTTCTGTAATGTTGTAGTAAATTATCCTTGTGATGTTGTAGAACAGCGTTCGTAATAAGTTGTTGTGAATCGACGAGCATCTAGATGTAAGCCCGTTTCGTAGTTGATCTTCCTCAGAAGTTATTCATGGTAGATCGTCCTCAGAAATTATCTCCCTCTTATGTACAACTCAGCTTTTACACAAGAAGAAGAAGAAGAAGAGGTTGGATTCTTAACCCGCCCTTCACTACTCCAAGTGGCTTACAATCTCCTTCCCTTCCCCTCCCCACAACAGACACCATGTGTGAGGTAGGTGGGGCTGAGAGAGCTTCTCCGAGAACTGCCCTCGAGAGAACAGCTCTGAGAGAACTTGTGACTGACCCACAGTCACACCAGCAGCTGCACGTGGAGGAGCGGGGAATCCAACCCAGTTCTCCCAGATTAGAGTCCGCGCTCTTCACCACTACACCAAACTGGCTTTCAAGCCATAAGAACTTAAGAGAAGCCAATGTTGGATCAGGCCATTGGCCCATCTAGTCCAACACTCTGTGTCACACAGTAGCCAAACATACCAGGTCCACTAACACTTCCTTAATCAGGTACAAAGCTGCCTGCTCCACTACATTCTAGCTAAACAGGGTCCCCCATTGGGGAGACTGATCGGTTATAAATAAAATAAGTAAACAAACGGTGCCTCTGGAAACAACATGGTCTTTCCGAGCCTCCAGGGCTGAGAAATCAAGGCTTCGAAGACAAGGAGGGGGCGGGTGACTCCCGAGTCAGCCGTCAGTCTATTGCAAAACTTACTGTACAGATCAGCCCTTTACGCTGCAAGGAAACGCCTTCTACCTTTGCAACTCTTTCATGTGCTACGGCACGTCGAACCTTGATGAGTTTGGTTGCCATAAAACAAGGTTTTTCCCTGCTGGCATTATTCCCAGTTCAGTGGGATAGAGCAGGTCGAGAAAGAGGTACTTTTCTCCCTTTCTCACCATGCAAGAACTCATGGGGCACTCCATGGAATTGCTGAGATCTCGGGTTGGAACGGATAAAAGAAGAAGAAGAAGAAGAAGAGATTGGATTTATACCCCGCCCTTCACTTGGAGTCTCAGAGCGGCTTACAAACTCCTTCCCCTTCCCCTCCCCACAACAGACACCCTGTGAGGTAGGAGGGGCTGAGAGAGCTCTTGACAGAAACTGCTCTTTTTCAAGGACAGCTCTTATCAGAACTATGGCTTGCCCAAAGGTCATCCAGCAGCTGCAAGTGGAGGAGTGGGGAATCAAACCCGGTTCTCCCAGATTAGAGTCTGCGCACTTAACCACTACACCAAACTGGCTCTGGAAGTCCTTCTTCACCCAAAGAGTGATGAACACATGGAATTCACTGCCACAGGAGGGGGTGGCGGCTACAAGCATGGATGGCCTCAAGAGGGAATTGGATAAACATCAGGAGTAGAGGTCCATCAGTGGCTATTAGCCCCACAAGGTATAGATAGGGACTCTGGGGCACATGATGCTCTGTCTTCTTGGTGCTTGGGGGGGTCAACAGTGGGAGGGCTTCTAGTGTCCTTGCCCAACTGCTGGACCTCCTGAGGGCACCTGGTCTTTTTGGCCACTGTGTGACAGACAGAGTGTTGGACTGGATGGGCCATTGGCCTGATCCAACATTGGCTTCTCTTATGTTCTTATGTTAAGAGCAGAGGTCCATCAGGGGCTATTAGCCACAAGGTATAGATAGGAACTCTCAGTCTGGGGCAAGGGATGCTCTGTATTCTTGGTGCTTGGGGGGGCAACAGTGGGAGGGCTCCTGGTGTCCTGGCCCCACTGCTGGACCTCCTGATGGCACCTGGTATTTTTGTCAATAAATGCCAACTGGGGAAGTCACTATCATATGCAAATTAATTCTATTGAAAGTGTACAATAAGTATTACAAATATAAATACATAAATTATAAACCCAAAATTATATTTTCAATATAATTATTTTACATATGATAGCGACTTCCCCAGTTGGCATTTACTGATTTTGATATACTGGGTCTTTTTGGTGGACCTGGTATTTTTGGCCGCTGTGTGACTGAGTGTTGGACTGGATGGCCATTGGCCTGATCCAACATGGCTTCCCTTATGTTCTTAATATGGAGTAGACGTCCATCAGTTGCTACTAGCCACAAGGTATAGGTCGGAACTCTTGGTCTGGGGTAAGTGATGCTCTGTATTCTTGGTGCTTGGGGGGGCAACAGTGGGAGGGCTTCTGGAGTTCTGGCCCCACTGCTGGACCTCCTGATGGCACCTGGTATTTGGAGCCACTGTGTGACACAGAGTGTTGGACTGGATGGGCCATTGGCCTGATCCAACATTGGCTTCTCTTATGTTCTTATGTCTGGGGCAAGGAATGCTCTGGCTTCTTGGTGCTGGGGGGGATGATAGTGGGAGGGCTCCGAGTGTCCTGGGCCCACTGCTGGACCTCCTGACGGGAGCTGGTATTTTTGGCCACTGTGTGACACAGAGTGTTGGACTGGATGGGCCATTGGCCTGATCCAACATTGGCTTCTCTTATGTTCTTATGTCTGGGGCAAGGAATGCTCTGGCTTCTTGGTGCTGGGGGGGATGATAGTGGGAGGGCTCCGAGTGTCCTGGGCCCACTGCTGGACCTCCTGACGGGAGCTGGTATTTTTGGCCACTGTGTGACACAGAGTGTTGGACTGGATGGGCCATTGGCCTGATCCAACATTGGCTTCTCTTATGTTCTTATGTCTGGGGCAAGGAATGCTCTGGCTTCTTGGTGCTGGGGGGGATGATAGTGGGAGGGCTCCGAGTGTCCTGGGCCCACTGCTGGACCTCCTGACGGGAGCTGGTATTTTTGGCCACTGTGTGACACAGAGTGTTGGACTGGATGGGCCATTGGCCTGATCCAACACTGGCTTCCCTTATGTTCTTATGTTCATTGGTTTCCTATTTGTTTTCCTTCTTTGGCAATCTTGAGTGCCCGTGAGAAAGGGGAGCTGTAAATGAAGATCGATTCAGGTGGGGAGCCATGTTGGCCTGAAGCAACAGAGCCAAGTTTGAGTCCGGGGTCACCTTTAAGGCCCACAAAGTTTTATTCTGGGCATGAGCTTTCGTCCGCACGCCCACTTCCTGAGATACCAGTCCAGATACCAATACAAATTCTTCAGATACCAAGACCAATTAAAACCAACAAAGATTTTTACTGGGCAGGCATGACCTTTCACGGGCACTGTTTGTTTACTTATGTATGCCCCACCATTCTCCGCAATGAGAACCCAAAGCAGCTTACATCATTCTTCTCTCTTCTGTGTTAACCTCACAGAAACCCTCTGAGGTAGATCAGGCTGAGAGTACGTGACTGGCCCAAGGTCACCCAGCCGGCTTCCGTGGCACAGCAGGGATTCGATCCTGGGTTTCGCAGAGCCTAGTCTGACGCTCTGACCATAGCACCACACTGGCTCTTGAGAGCCAGTTTGGTGTAGTGGTTAGGAGCGTGGATTCTAATTCTAATCTGGGAGAACTGAGTTTGATTCCCCACTCCTTCTCCACATGCAGTTGCTGGGGTGACCTCGGGTCAGTCACAAGTTGTCTCAGAGCTGTTCTCTCAAGGGCAGTCCTCGAGAAAGCTCTCTCAGCCCCACCTACCTCACAGGGTGTCTGTTGTGGTGAGGGGAAGGGAAAGGAGATGGTAAGTCTCTCTGAGACTCCTTCGGGCAGTGAATCCAGTCTCTTCTTCTTCTTCGTGTCCCAAATCAGACCATCAATGTCTCAAGCGGAGGTCTTTCACGCCCCCAGCTAACAGGTCCTGTTTAACTTGATGGTACCGGGGATCGAACCCTGGACCTTCTGCATGCCAAGCAGACGCTCTACCACTGAGTCCCAACACTTGGCCTGTCAGAGTCAATATTGTCTACTCAGACTGGCAGCTGCTGTCCAGGGTCTCAGGCAGAGGTCTTTCACGCCACCGACTGCCTGGTCCTTTGTAACTGGAGATGCCGGGGATTGAACCTGGGACCTCCTGCATGCCAAGCAGAGGCTCTGCCACTGAGCCACGGCCCCTCTTTACAGCTCTGTAGGGTCTAAGGTGGAGGTCTTTCCCACCACCTCCTGCCTGGTCCTTTTAACTGGAGATGCCGGGGATTGAACCTGGGTCCTTCTGCATGCCAAGCAGAGGCTCTGCCACTGAGCCGTGGCCCCTCTTCACAGCTCTCCAGGGTCTCCGGCAGAGGTCTTTCCCATCACCTCCTGCCTGGTCCTTTGAACTGGAGATGCCGGGGATTGAATCTGTGACCTTCTGCATGCCAAGCAGAGGCTCTGTCACTGAGCCTCAGCCTCATCCCACCCTTGGCCATCTATGTCCGTCTTGTCTACTCTTCCACTGAGCTGCATCCCATGTGAGGTTATTAGAAGGCGAGAGAGAGAGAAGAAGAGGAAAAGAAGAAGAGAAGAGATTGGATTTATACCCCACCCTTCACTACCCAAAGGAGTCTCAGAGCGGCTTACAAGCTCCTTTCCCTTCCCCTCCCCACAACAGACACGCCCTGGGAGGTCGGTGGGGCTGAGAGAGCTCTGACAGAAACTGCTCTTTTTCAAGGACAGCTCTTGACAGGACCACGGCTTGCCCAAGGTCATCCAGCAGGTGCGAGTGGAGGCGTGGGGAATCAAACCCGGTTCTCCCAGATTCGAGTCCGCGCACTTAACCGCTGCACCAAACCCGTTTGAAAAGGAAAAGGCCAAATGTTTGCTAACGTTTCTGTTCCCCACAGACCTATAGTAGCTACTTTTTCGGGACTTCGGGTGTGCTGTACTTTTGTGGCTCATCGGAAGCTTTAGAAGGAAAGAGAGAGCCGAATTCCTCGCGGCTGACACAAGAGTTTGCCACGGGCGAAGACCGTGTTTACAGCGAACACCTGTGAGTCTTTCAAGATAATGTTTAATCTGATGGCCGACCCAGGCATGCGGGGAGGGAGTTTTCACATCTAGTGCTTCTAGAATACTCCTGGTTTGGCCCCCCTGGGGTTTACGGGCACTTATTTCCAGAACCTGTTTTCAGTGTTCAGTTCCTTAACTGGTGGTGTGGTCAGAACAGTGTGTGCCGTGGAGAGACCATTTCTTTTTTAGCCAGCCAGTAATTGCTGCCACTCCCAATTCGTGTGGGGAATGGACGGTGCTTCCCTCTGGGACAGGTTTGGCCTCAGAAGGCACCGAAACATAGGTAGGAAAAATCAACCGCATGATTGGGGGAGACTTGTCTTGACAGCCGTAGGTGCGAAAAGGATCTAGGGGTCTTAGCAGACCATTCACTGAACGTGAGCCGGCAGTGTGATGCGGTAGCTATAAAGGCAAATGCGATTTTGGGTTGTATCCACAGAGGTATAGTGTCCAGATCATGCGAAGTCATTTCTGGTTAGACCTCACCTGTTCAGTTTTGGGCACCGCAATTTAAGAAGGATATAGAGAAGCTGGAACGTGTCCAGAGGAGGGCAACGAAGATGGTGAGGGGTCTGGAGCAATGTTCCCTCTAAGCTGTGGAGTCCCGTGAGCAAAAATTCTACTTGGTGAGCTACTGGCATTAAAGTTGTGAGCGAGCCATTTGGCTACTGCATACATTAGTTTGCTCTGGAGCTATCCTTCCTGAGCTAAGACAAAAATGTGTGAGCCGGAGGCTAAAAAACTGTGAGCTAGCTCACACTAACTCAGCTTAGAGGGAACACTGGTCTGGAGACCAAGTCCTAAGAGGAAAGGCTGAAGGAACTGGGTCTGTTTAGCCTGGAGAGGAGACGACTGAGAGGGGAAGAAGAAGAAGAGGAAGAGGAGGAGATTGGATTTATACCCTGCCCTTCACTACCCGAAGGTGTCTCAGAGCGGCTTACAAACCTCCTTTCCCTTCCCCTCCCTACAACAGACACCCTGTGAGGTAGGTGGGGCTGAGAGAGCTCTTGACAGAAACGGCTCTTTTTCAAGGACAGCTCTTATCAGAACTATGGCTTGCCCAGGGTCATCCAGCCAGGTGCAAGTGGAGGAGTGGGGGAATCAAACCCGGTTCTCCCAGATTAGAGTCCGCACACTTAACCACTGCACCAAACTGGGTATGATCACCATCTTCAAGTCCTTGAAGGGCTGTCCTATAGAGGATGGGGCGGAGTTGTTTTATTTATTTAATGTATTTATTTAACTTTCAATTTCTAGACGGCTCAACCCCCGAAGGGCTCTGAGCGCTTTACACAGTACAATTTTAATTGCATCACATTACAATTTAGTTACATTACCTCGCTAGGGCCACACACACATTAAGGGGAATTGACTGCCTATCAGGCACCCGTGGCGGGGTCTTGATTGTTGGTATTGCAGAAGTTCGGCGCAGATTTTCCCTTTTGACCGCAGCGACTACTTTCGGGGATGGTCCCCCAGTGCACGACAGCGCGTGCTGACGCAGCTGGCCTCTGTCCTGATTGGCTCCGACCTACCACGTCGCCCCGCCGCGGCGCCTTGCTGGCCCAATCTTCGTCCATTCTGTTGCCCTAGAAGGTCGGACTAGAACCAGCGGGTTGCAATTGAATCAGAAGAGTTTCCGGCTAAACATTAGGATAGTGGGACAGGGAGGTGGTGGGCTCTCCTTCTTTGGAGGTTTTCAGAGGCTAGATAGCCATCTGACAGCAATACTGATTCTTTTAATATAGGCAAATCATGAGAGGGAAGGGATGCCTCAGTGTTTAGTTCTTGTGGCCCTTTCTTACAGTTCGGGAAGGGAGTAGCCAGTGCTGAGTTCTCGTGGCCCTTTCTTAACACGCCCAGGGAAATGCCGATCACCACTTTGGGTTCAGGAAGCCATTTTTCTCCAGGCCACTTTGGCCCAGGGATCCTCGGGGGTGGGGGGTTGCCCTCTTCTGGGCGTGGAGCAGAGGTCACTGGCAACGTTCCCTCTAAGCGGTGGAGCCTTGTGAGCAGAAATTCTACCTTGTGAGCTCCTGGCATTAAAGTTGTGAGCGAGCCATTTGGACTCATAGGGACAAGTGACTCATAGGGACTCTGGGGCAAGTGATGCTCTGTCATCTTGGTGCTTGGGGGGGGGTCAACAGTGGGAGGGCGTCTAGTGTCCCGGCCCCACTGGTGGACCTCCTGATGGCACCTGGTATTTCTGGCCACTGTGTGATACAGAGTGTTGGACTGGATGGGCCTTTGGCCTGATCCAACATTGGCGTCTCTTATGTTCTTATGTTCTTATGCTGCATAAACCAGTCTGCTCTGGAGCCCTCCTTCCTGAGCAAAGACCAAAATGTGTGAGCCAGAGGCTAAAACACTGTGAGCTAGCTCACGCTAACTCAGCTTAGAGGGAACACTGGTCCCTGTGTGTGTGTGTGGGTGGGAGGTATTTGTGAATTTCCCGCATTGTGCAAGGGGGTTGGACTAGACGACCCTCGAGGTCCCTTCCGACTCTGTGATTCTATGAGAGCTAGAAGGGACTCTGAGGGTCATCTAGTCCAGCTCCCTGCACAGTGCGGGGAATTCACGGCTCCCTCTGCTTCCTCACTCCCCCGGTGATCTCTGCTCTATGGCCAGAGGAAGGCAAAACCCCTCCAGGGTCCCTGGGCCAATCTAGCCTGGAGGAAAATCCCTTCCTGACCCCAGAGTCATGATTGGCATTGTGCTGGACCGATCTTGTCAGTTCTCTGAAGCGAAACCCGGTGATGGCCCAGGGGAGGTTTGGGTGGGGAATTTTTTTCACATTTCACCCCAAAGCCTTTTTTGAACAACAAGAAGAAGAGATTGGATTTATACCCCTGGCCCTTCACTTGGAGTCTCAGAGCGGCTTACAAACTCCTTTCCCTTCCCCTCCCCACAACAGACACCCTGTGAGGTCGGCGGGGCTGAGAGAGCTCTGAGTGAAGGGCGGGGTATAAATCCAATCTCCTCCTCCTCCTCTTCTTCTCCTTCTGATTTTCATAAGAACATAAGAGAAGCCAATGTTGGATCTGGCCAGTGGCCCACCCAGTCCAACACTCTGTGTCACACAGTGGCCAAAAACACCAGATGCCCTCAGGAGGTCCAGCAGTGGGGCCAGGACACTAGAAGCCCTCCCACTGTTGCCCCCCCAAGCACCAAAAAGACAGAGCATCCCTTGCCCCACCCCCAAGCATCAAGAAGACAGGGCATCCCTTGACCCAGACATAAGAACATAAGAGAAGCTAATGTTGGATCTGGCCAGTGGCCCACCCAGTCCAATACTCTGTGTCACACAGTGGCCAAATATACCAGGGGCCGTCAGGAGGTCCAGCAGTGGGGCCAGGACACTAGGAGCCCTCCCACTGTTGCCCCACTCCCCAAGCACCAAGACTACAGAGCATCCCTTGCCCCAGACATACGAACGTAAGAGAAGCCATGTTGGATCAGGCCAATGGCCCATCCAGTCCAACACTCTGTGTCACACAGTGGTCAAAAATAGCAGGTGCCCTCAGGAGGTCCAGCAGTGGGGCCAGGACATTAGAAGCCCTCCCTATTTTGCCCCCCAAGCACCAAGAACAGAGAGTATCCCTGCCCCAGACATAAGAACATAAGAGAAGCCAATGTTAGATCAGGCCAATGGCCCATCCAGTCCAACACTCTGTCTGTCACGCAGTGGCTAAAAATACCAGGGGACGTCAGGAGGTCCAGCAGTGGGGCTGGGACACCAGAAGCCCTCCCACTGTTGCCCCCCCAAGCACCAAGAAGACAGAGCATCACTTCTTCTTCTTCTTCTTCATCATCATCATCATCATCATCATCTTCTTCTTCTTCTTCTTTCCATAAATATATCAAACATGGCAGTTTTATAGCCAGTAATTAATGATGCGTTGTGCCCAGATTTAAACTTTGTTGGTCTTAAAGGTGCCAACTGGACTCAAACTTAGTTCTCACAACTGTTCGTCGACTCTTTTATTATCTGTGTGATCATTTGCTGCTGTTCACAGATCTTAAGTAAAGGTAAAGGCTTCCCTTGCTCGAAAGCCAGTCGAGTCCGACTCTAGGGTTGCGGTGCTCATCTCCGTTTCCAAGCCGAAGAGCCAGCGCTGTCCGAAGACGTTTCCCTGGTCATGTGGCCGGCGTGACTCAACACCAAGGCGCACGGAACGCTGTTTACCTTCCCACCGAAGTGGTACCTATTTATCTACTTGCAATTCCTTGCTTTCGAACTGCTAGGTTGGCAGGAGCTGGAACTAGAGACATAGTAAGACAGATCTTACCAACCGCCTTAATCCAATCTCGGCTATAATCACAGTTACTTACGTATCTTGAATCTTAACTAGGCCTTCCTGGTAACTGAAACCCCCCCCCACACACACACAAACACTATATGTAATGGTTGAGAAAATTCTGTTTCACTGTATCTGAAGAAGTGTGTGTAAACATGAAAGCTTGTACCCGGAATGAAACTTTTGTTTGTCTTAAAGGTGCCACCGGTCTCAAACTTTGTTCTTTTATTATCTATATATCTAATAGCCAACTTGCCCCCTCCGTGCGGATCGCTAAATCAGCACGGAGGGGGCAGGTGGGGGGGAGGGGGAGGTTTGTGCACACGTGGGCCAGTCCCCACGTGTGCACAAAAATGCAAAAAGTTAAAAAAAAATTCGAGGGGATGTTTAAATCCCCCCAAAAGTGCAAGAGCGTCTCCTGCGCATGCGCAGGAGACGCTCTGCAACGCCGCCGCTGCCTTAAACATCCCCTCGAATTTTTTTTT